GAGGGAGGGAGGGAGGGAGGGAGGGAGCGGGCGTTTGTGTCAAGGAGGAGAACGAGGGCGCAGGGCTGGCTGGCAGGTGCCGCACGTGTCCGGCGCCGGCGGCCGCCGTGATGAGGCAAAGGGGTTGGGGAGGCCGAGCGGGGCGGCGCCCCAAAGCGCAGCCTGCACCGCGTGTGCCGTCGGTACCGCATGTACCGCACCTGCGCCTCCTTGTACTGCAGCAGCCGCTCCAGCACCTCGTTCTTCAGCTTCTGCGACTCGTTGGCTATCCTGCAGGGTGGAAGAGGAGGGGGCCAGGGAGGGAGGCGGGGTGAGGGGGAAGCATTGAAAGCTGGCAGGGCAGGGCAGCGGTGAGCAGAACGCGGGGTGCTGAGAGGGTGTGGGGGCCAGCCGGCGCCGCCTCGCGCCCGCGCCCGCGGCCTCCGGGGCGAGCCAACGGGGCGGTAGCGCCGGCGAGGGAGGGGCACATTCCTTCACAGGCCGCCAAATCCTCCAGATGCCCGCACCCCGAACCACACCCCGCAGCGCCCCGCCGCGCCCACCTCCCGACCTGTCTCACGCCGCCCCGCCGCGCCCACCGCATCCCACCCACCACCAGCACACCATCTCACCCCACACCCCACACCGCCACACCACACCACACCACACCACACCACACCTGATGCGGTCCAGCTCAGCCGACGTGTCGCCCACCGCCGCCTCCGTCTCCGCCATCAAGCGCTTTTGCTTCTCGCGGAACCGCTTCTGCGCGTCCCGCGCCCGCAGCTGCTTGTCGGTGAGGGTGGATGGGTCCTGAGGCTGGCGCCCGCGCCGCCGCGGCGCCTCCTGCCCCGCAGCAGCAGCCGGCGCCGACGCGGCCGGCGCGGCCCCCGGCCCCGGCCCCTGCTGCTGTGGCTGCAGCTGCGGTGCCAGGCTGCTGCCCTGCGGCGGGCCGCCGACAAAGCCGCCGCCGCCGGCCGGCACCAGCGGGGCCGCCAGCGGCGGCAGCGGCAGGGCCGCCGCCATCTGCGCCTGCTGCTGCAGCAGCGCCCAGCTGGGGGCCTGGCCCATGCAGGCGCCCAGTCCGGCGCCGCCCACGCCCGGCGCCGGCGCCAGCGGCGCCTGCGCCGCGACCTGCTGCCCCTGCCGCGCCATTGCGGCTTGCTGGTGCTGCAGGATGGCTGGCGGCAGCTGCGCGCCGCCGTCCAGCACCTGCTGCGACGAGAGAAGAAAGTCTGGAGGGTACAGGGCGGGCGGCAGGCCGGCGGGCACGCCGCCCGCCTGCTGCGCCGCCGGGAAGCCGCCCAGCCCCGGCTGCGCCTCCCTGTAGCCTTGCTGGAACTGCTGCGGGAAGCTGGCCCCGGCTGGCGGCGCGGCAAAGGCGCCTATGCCTGAGCCAGCCCACGCCGCCTGCGGCTGCTGCTGGTGCAGGAGCGCCGCAAACGACATGTCTATGCCTGCAGCCGGCTGCTGCTGCTGCTGCGGTGGCTGCTGCTGCTGGTGCTGCATCGGGTGCTGCTGGCCTTGCGCCGCCTGCTGCTGGAGCAGTTGAAGCATGGCCGTGTCCTGCAGGGCCACAGGCGGAAGCGGCAGGCGGCGTTGGGAGTACCGCCCGAGCAGAGGCCGCAGGCCCGGGCTGCCCTGCCCCGGCGACCAGCGTGTTTGTGAATGCAATCATTGCAGGCGCGGGAGGCTAAGGCGGAGTCCCACGACGCTGCACGCGCAAAAGTCTGCCGGCCCAACGGGGCTGGCGCGCTCCTCGTCCTTTAAGCTGGCGATGTCGACGTGAAATGTGTTTCAAACGCCGCAGGCACGCACGAACACCCATTCGCAACCCAGCCGCGTGTCATGGGCCGGCGCGAAGTGCGGCGGCTGCTGTGCTTGGCAGCAGACAAAGCTACAGCACTACACTCACTCCGTCGAGGCCAGGCAGTCCCAGCTCATCGCCAGAGCCCCTCCATCCTTCACTGCCGGCTGGCTCCATGAGGCCAAACCGGCGTTAAGGGAGCTGCATACACGCTCGTCACGACCGTGCAAAATCAGCCCGCGCATGCCTGGCAAGCCCATGAAGCGCTGGCAGGCCCGCCGGGCTCAGCATGCCGCCGCCAGCGACAGTGGTGCATGCTGGCAGGCACAATCAGCCTGCTGTGGCACAAGTGCCTCAAAATTGGGCGTCACATGAGCAGACAGACACAGACAGGCACATTATGAACACATGAACGCACAGCAAACAGTTCACAAGCGAAGCAGGCAGCAGGTGTGTGTTGTGGCATCCTAACCCCTGCTGCCTGCTGTGCCTGCCAGGCAGAGTATCAAGACCAGCTGCTGGTGCTAGGCATCCAAGAAGTGGAGGCCCTTTTCAAGCGGCAAGAGCAGGCGGCAGGGGCGGCAATGGAGCAGGAACCGCCACACCCCAGCGCAGGAGCAGCACCGGCCAGGGAGCCGGAGATTGCAGCGGCAGAGACGCCAGCTGGGGCGCAGCATAGGAAGCTGCAGTGTTCGTCGGCAGAGCACGAGCCGCCGGCGCAGGAGGAGCAGCGTGGACAGGCAGGGCAGCCATAGGCTGCGCGGTGACTTGCTGCTTTGCCTTTGCTTGGCGGCCTCTACCTGTGCCGCTTCAGACTGTCGCTGCTCTCAACCTGTAAACATGTCGAAACCCGAGTGATTGCACAAGGCCGGAGCGGCTCTCAGCAACACAGCCAAGACTTGGCAGGCAGGTTCATAGCCGCACAGGCTACTATCCCGCCGCCGCCGCCGCGTGCTGCCGCTCCCTGAGCAGGCGCAGGGCCGCTTGCGCCTGCTCCTCGGCACCCGCCGCACGCTCGCGCTTGCCCGTCACGTCAGCCAGCGCATGCGCCGCCGCCTCCCGCACCTCGCCATACCCCTCGCCCAGCTGCGCCCGCAGCAGCCGCTCCGCGGCCTGCCAGCGCTGCGCCTCGGCGGCAGCCGCTGCGGCCTCCTGCGCCAGCGAGGCGCCGCTGGCATCCCCAGCAGCCGCATCTGCCTCTCGGTCCAGAAGCAGGCGCGCCTCTGTCATCCGGCCCTGCCTGCGCTCCACGGGACCAGGCAGCGGGATATTGCATTCATGTGTAAGCAAGCTGAGCTGCATGGTGGCCATGCCAGCTTCACTCCAGCTTCTCTCATTCCCTCCGTCCCGCCTAGCACCGCGACAACAACGCGTCGCCCGCTGTGCCTGCCTGCATGCAGGGCATGACACAGCGGCGCAGCGCCGGCGCAACTCCACCACACAGGCGCAACAGCGCGCTCACCGCAGCGCCGCCTCGCCCAGCCAGCGCCGCCCCTCCTCGCCCTGCCGCCACCTGGCCAGCCACACATGGTAGTCAGCCATGCTGGTCTTGGCAAACGCCTCACAAAACTTGAGCTCTGGAGGGAGGGAGGGAGAGGGGTGCGCAGGCATGCCACAGGCACAGGGCCAGAGACAGTGGTGAGCCTGGGCGCAGCAGGCAGGGCGGCGAAACGCCGCCACCTGGCTCCCTTGCAAACACAGGCAGGCAGGCAGGCAGGCCGGCCGGCCGGCAGGCAGGCACCTGTGGCGGCCAGCCATGAAGTGATGGTGCCCCGCCACCGACCGAGCTCCTGCAGCAGCAGCCAGCCGCCAGCAGGGAGGCCCGCTCACGGCGGGAACAATAGTGGGTAGGGGGCAGCGCAGCAGGTGCAAACATGGGAGGGGAGGGCAGGGGTGGCAGGCAGGGGCGGCGTCCAGGCAGGAGCGGCCACATCCCAGCCGGGCACGGGACCATGGCAGGGCACAGACCTTGAGGTACAGGCCGCGGGGGGCGATACGGTCTAGGCGGTAATTGATGTAGAAAGGATTGGAGGCAAGTGAGGCGCACACATCCTCCACCTGCAACTCCCATCGGGGGCAGGGGGAGGCGCAGGAGTGGGGACGGGCGGCAACGGCAGTCGCGGGGACAGGGCGCACGCCGGCGGCGGGCAGGAGGGGCATGCAGCGAGCGGCAGGCGCGGCGGCAGGGCACACGGGGGCGTGCACGGGCATGCCAGCGCCCGCGCCGGGGGCGGGCGCCTGGCCGGACAGGAACCCCTGGAAAGCAGGACCGCAGGCAGCGGCAGCCTCCTTGCTTTCTTTCTTCATTTCCCCCAAGCCCGGCTGATGAGACCCCCGCTCGCCACACCTCCAAGGCCTCCCGCAGGAAGCGCAGCTTGGCAGCATAGGTTGGGGAGGAGAAGTCGAGGCGCAGGACCCCGGGGTTGCCGTGCACCAGCCTGCAGCGGCAGCGGCAGCAGCAGCCGCCGGTTGTGCTGGCAGCGCTGGCGGCGCTGGCGGCGCAGCGGCATGCGCCCCCGCCTGCAGCCGGGCAGCCGCAGCAGCCTGGCAGGGGCGCGAATGAATACCCCCTACCACAGCCACACATACCATATACACACCATGCATGCACGCACACACACCATGCACACACCACACACACGCACACAACAGTACACACACACACACACACACACACACACGCTCACTTGCGCAGCTGTTCGTCGGTGAAGCCCACTGCCTGCCGCATGACCTCCACGTTGCGGCGCAGGCTGGCTGGCGAGCGGCCCAGCGTGTCGGGCACGTTGATCAGCACCTGGCAGCAGGGGCGTGGAAAGAAGGCGCGGGGGCGGACTCATGGGCGCGGTGGTGGGCGGCGGCGAGCCAGGGAGTAGCAGGCAGGCAGGCAGGCAGGTAGGCAGGCAGGCAGACAGGTGCGGCGGACATCAACCAAGCACGGCGTGCGGCGTGTTGGGCAGGGTGAGAGCCAGGGCGGCGCCACAACAGCGAAGCCAGGGGCTGCTCTGTATCGCGGCAGGCTGGCGCATGTGCACACGTGCCCAGCATTCCCTGCCCCTGCCCTGCTGCCCCCCACTCCCGCCAGCCACAGCCGCCTCGAGCCCGCCACGCCCACCCACCCACCCACCCTCGCAATCGTCTCCTGCGGCAGGCCCAGCTCATCGCGCAGCACCCCCAGAAACGCCTCCCGCTTCTCCGACCTGCACCCGCAAGAGGGCGATCCAGCGCAGCACCGAGGGTCAGGCAGGAAGAGGCATCGGCCAGGCAGGAAGGTGAAGGTCTCATCCAAGGCCTCTGGTAGTGCTGCCCAGCAGCATCATGCAGGCGGCGGGCCGGCAGCAGGCCTCTTCAACGGCAGGCGGCTGCACAGCCCACCCACCCGGCAGCCCACAGCCACGCGTTGGTAGCCGCTCCCAGGCAACCACGCCACGCCAGCACCCCCCAAGCCAGAATCCGGCCAGCCACCCTGCCAGAATGCCACCCACCAACCCCGAGCCAAACACCTGCAAGCCAGGCACCGACCACCCCCAAGCCCGGCAGCCCGCCAAAACACCGCACACCACCGCGCACCCGTAGCAGAGCACCACGGGGAGGCGGGTGATGACGTGGGCAAACATGTGGTCGCCCACGCCCTGCTCCCGCAGCCAGTCCAGCCACCGGGTGGAGCCGTCATCGCTGATGCCCACTGCGGCGCAGCGGGAGGCGGGCAGGCAGGCGCGGCGCGGGCGGTCCCGGTGGGAACGGACGCACGCGCACTGGCCTGAAGGCCACCCACATGCCTACCCACACGCGCACATGCACCCCACAAACACGAAGCAGCTTCTCCCAGGCGCCCGCCCACCAAGCGCCCGCTGCACTTGTCACCACACACACACACACACACACGCACGCGTACAAAAGCGTCACACGCACACATGCGCGCACACACACAAAAGCGCCACACACGGCTGGCGCGGCACTCACGGATGCCCCAGTACTTCCAGATGCTGGTCACCACGTTGGCTTCACTGAGCCCCGCCCTCCGCAGCCAGGCCACGCGTTGCTGCGGCGGCAGAGGGAAGCAGGCGGCGGCGCAGGAGTGAGGAGGGCACGCGCGGCCGACTGGCGTGCGTGTGGCAGCAGTCGGCGGCGGCGCGGCCGATCGGACGCCGTGCGAGCATCGGCAGCGGCGGCGGGCGGCCGCGGGAGCCGAGCGGGCACCTGGATTTTGCTCAGCGAGTAGCACAGGAGGATGGGCGCGCGCAGCACCAGCCCGCGCTGCCTGGCCACGGGGAACCCCAGGCTTCCCAGGTAGTCGAGCAGCGGGAAGATGCGGCGTGAGAGGTCCTGCGGGGAGAAGAAGAAGAAGAAGAAAAGTGGAAGCGAAGCGTGGCACACGTGGATGACTGGGGCAGATGCGCCGACCAGCTGGCAGCGCGCCGTTCCGGCGGGACCGGCAGCCAGGCGCGCGGCGGCGGCGGGCAGCCCGCGAGGGCGGCGAGGCCGCGGCGCGGCGCGAGGGGCCCCAAGAGCGCAAGGCTGCAGGCGAGGCGCCACCCGAGCAGCGGAGCACCCCGGCGGGGGTCCCTGGGTTGAGGGCCGGGGTCAGGGCCGCCGCGGTACCGCAGGCGCACACCTCTTGGAGCAGGTAGGGGTTGACCGACAGGATGCGGGCGAGCTCCGCGGGCTGCAGCTGCAGCCGCTCTCTGAATTGCCGCATGTTGAGCTCCAGGCGGGCGATGGTGGAGCCCACTGCGGCAGGCGGGGGGGGGGGGGGGGGGGGGGGCAA